TCCGAAGATATAACCTCATGGCAGGCTAGTGCTTCTCCTATGTTCTTCGAGCAACATACACTTGGCAGATGACTGAGAGGGCGGAGCAAAACAATAATCGAAATCCTATCATTAATACGATTAACATGTAAAAATCAGACAAATGAATTCCTTCCGGCCAAGATAAGCTAAAAAAAGTAAGGCATTTTGTTGCTACAAGCAAATTACAACAAGTATCGAACGGTAACCGACATCTCGCAAAGCCTGAATTTTAATTCATCTGAAGATATAAATGAAAATCGAAATCTCATTACATCAATGAATAACAAAAAGCATATGACAGCGAGTTCTAGCATTAGGCTTGTGATTTACAGCACATCCTATGTCGTTAACCTTGCATTTGCTCTGCACTATTCTCACTTGTTTACCGTAGGGATCGCGGGTCTGTCCAACACCACTGGTACCTGAGAGACGCGCCTGGTTCGGAAGAAAACAGAGGGGTGGACCAAATCGGGCTGCTATAAGCGGATACCAAAGGGCATTCGTAGAGGTGGTGGATGAAAACAAAGTGTCCGAGTCGACGGCTAGCAGAGAAGATGACTGGGAGTATGAAGGAAAAATGAGAATAAGAGTCAGGTAAAATCTTTGTAAAAATCAAAGCAAGAAAAATAAGATAGTTGAGGGAGTTGTAATAGAATTCCTACTAATTAGATTATGGGAGTCAATTTCGCACATATTATTATGCATTATACATACATATATATACATATATATATATAACAATTATTTATTTTTGTTGCTATACCTTATTAGGTACGTATTGTTTTGTAAGCAAACCAAGCCCCTAATAATCAATTGGTCGTACAATGCATGTAAACAAACGCAAATTTCACCGGACAATTATAGAGCATGCTATCAAGACAACAGACTAATATCAGTGTCAATAAACATAAATAAGAGGCTTAAAGTTAAAGTTTATTCAAATCTCAAGATCTTTGAGATCTTTGACATAATAACCATTTAATGTCGTAAGATGAATTCACCCAATTTCGTTTAAGGTGATGAAGGACTGGTAGAAGTAGAATTTTTCCACAAATGATATGAGTTGAGCTGACGTTTCCATTGAATTTTTACATAGCTTTGCTTTCCCAAAAGTTGTTCTCATCCAGGGTGGACTCCAGTTTCGACCTCGCATTGGTCTTATCAACAGCCTCAGTGGGACTCGAATGGCGACAGTGCAGAACGGTAGCTTGACACGCTAACCACTCGGCTACACTGCCACAAGCGCCTTTTGGGTCACAAGGCAAATGCGAATTTTCAAGGAAGGCCAGGACTTTTTTTGCCATGTCACATGCTTTTTGTGGAATTGTCGATGAAGCAAACGTATGTTATGCTATAACAATCGACTACTATACTTTATTTTTTTCTAATTAAGTATTATTTTTCGTCAATACCAGTAAATCAGTTATAAGATGTATTCACCTAATTTCGTTTAAGGTGATGAAGGACTGGTAAAAGTAGAGGTCGAAACTGCAGTCCACCC